GAGGAAGGGCCCGAGGCTGAGGTCAACACATGTCAAAAACCTACTACTGCCTAGCAAACCTCTAAGGAACAGCCAAGGTATCGAGTTTGTCAGCCTGCACCCTCTGTAAAGTACTGAGCCTGTCTTCAACACAAAGTTTCTTCTAATTTTCTCAAGCAGAATGCACTACAGAGTCCTGTTCTGGGGTTATTTACTAGGAAAGGTAATCCTGGAAAAAAAAAAAAAAAAAAAGTGTCTCAGGAAAGGTTAAAGGAAAAGCAGCCCTTTCCCCAGTGATGGCTGGGCTGTGGTCCTAGGAGAAGGGAGAGGCCGTGGTCTCATCCCTTGCAGAAGCAGGCTTAAGTTAAAGAGCTGGATGTGCTAACACATGGTGTCCCTCCTGCCTGGTCCAAGGCGGTATATTGGCTGGCCACCCCAGCATGGGCCACCTGAGCCTCTAGAGAGGGCAGGCTCCATTTTGACATCTCCTCTGCAGGCATCTTGTCATCCTTTCAGCCAGGCCCTGCTTAGCCCTGCCTAACAAGTCTCATCTTGCCTTCTCCAGATGAAACACCTCCCTTTTCCTCCATAGGGCTGTGAATATGTGCTTGTGTCCAGGTGAAGCCCTTCCCAGCAGAGACAGTGAGATCCACCTGGAGGACATAGGGGTCACCAACAGGACCAGTGCCATTGTGTCCCCTAGGAGACTACCCCTCAGCGGGACTGATGGGGTCTTTTGCCCTGTGACCATGAAGGGGCAAAGCATCAAAGCACAATGCCAGAGGGATGTGGTGTGTCTTGCATTGGCAGAAACTCACCCCAGTGCTGTAAAGGAGCCCCTTGCCTCAACTTTACACAGTACCTCCTGATCCTGGCCCTGAATAGCGCTGCTGACATAACGCTTGTCCTGACTCTGTAATACTTGCCCCAGCCCTGTCACACTCGTCTTGGCCCACACAGACTTCAGTGAGGCTCTTAACCAGCCGGCACTCAAAACAACTCTTCCCACAGGTCCTGACATAACTCATACCCCCAGACCAAAGGCCCCTCTCCTCATTCCTGGTTGGTAGCACTCCACTGAGCACATAGAGGACTTTGAATTCATCATGAGCTGGGATGATCCCAGGTGATACATGAGGGCTTTCACACACAGGGGACAAATTCCTTTCCTTTGTCCCCCAGAGAAGTTTCCTTAGTCAGGTCTGCTGCAGAGCTGGGCTTTCCCCTGCCCACAAATTCACTGAATCTAGACTTCTTCAGAGGCGACTTAGAGTCTGATCCCACAGGAAAGGAAATGGTACTAGGGAAGAGGGGGGAGGCACAGAAGTTCCTGAAGTTTTCTGTCCTGGATAGTTGGAATAAATCTCGTTTTCTCTGGTCTCGCTGCCGAGGCAAAGCCTGATTAGGGTTAGCGAGGATTGGTTCAGCAGCGCTGCAGCCCGCCCCCTCCTTCCCACATCCCCTCCCCGCCAGCCTCACTCCCTCTCTCCACTGGCACCAGTGTGTTCTGCACAGCAGCCAAAAGAGCAGCCCGGGGAGCCAGTGTTGGGGGGCAGCCGCGTGAAAAGGAGGGCCATGCCGCCCCTTGGCCCCTCCTCGGGGATATGGCACTGGTAGCCCTCAGAGCAGGCTGAAGGGGCACTTGGGGAGCGTCTCCGAACTTCTCTGCTAGAGGACAAAAAAAAAAAAAAAAAGTTCCACTTCTTAAGAGGTAAGTCCTGAAAGTTTTTATTCCTGTGCACGTAGCGCTTGTCGAGGGGAGAGATGTTTCAGAGCAGGAGAAAAAGTTTGGAGAGGGTGGGAAAAGAGGGACTGAAGGGGTGGGAGAACTGGGAGGGGTGGCAAGACGATGGAGACGGGGAGGATGTAGCAAAAGAAGGGGAGAAGGAGACGGGAATGCAACAGGAAATGAAGAGAAAAGGAATGGAAAGACAGTGCAAAGAAACAGGAGAGGGACCAGGGGAGAGAACGAAAACATAGGGCAAGAAGGGAGCCCCAAGGAAGCACCCCCAGAGCTGGGAAAGCAGCGAGTCACCCCCTCTGGTTGACCCCTTTTACCCTCAGCTCTGAATATCTCGTGAAGCCCCGCAGGCTCTCAGAGTCTCATTCTGTTTGTTTGTTTGTTTTCTGAGCAAGAAAGTGAACGGTTCTGGGCAGGGGGCTAGCGAGAGGAAGGCTGGAAACAGTCTGTGTTTGGACACCAGCCTTCCTCCATGTCCAAGTGTGTGTGCTTGGTAAAAACATCCTTGTTATACAGGGAGATATAAATATATATATAGCAGCAGGCAGAGCGGGAGTCAGACTCAAGCTTGTCCGCCTACTGCCCGGCATTGCTCCAGAAGAGCTGGAAAAGGCCCAGCCTGGCCAGCCAAGCCCATTTCCCCTTCCCCAGTCGCATGGTTCCCTCCCCAAAACCCTGTCCCTGCTGGCTTTCCTCATCCCAGCACGCAGTGGCCCCAATTGTGCAGGCTCTTCTTCTCTTGCTTCAGGAAGAAGTTGTTTTTTCAGTGCTCAGAAGGCTGGGAAAGCTTTCCTGCCTGCTCGCAGCAATTTTGCACCCACTCTTCCCCCAGTAGAGACCACCCCAGATATCTCCTCTCCCTCCTTGGAGTATGTCCCCCAGGGAGGGGGCTGTAAGGAGAGAAGGAGCGGGGAGAGGCTGGTTTCAGCAGCTCCAGCCAACTAGACATCTGGATTATTTTTCCCCTTTCTGGTTTCCGCTCTTCCCAGCAAGCAGAGCAGCTCTGGCCGTTCCCGGCGACTGGGGAACCAGTGGAAAGCAGCTGAACGCAGTGGGGGAAATGGGGGAGGCTGGAGGGGGAGGCGGAGGAGGTGCCGCCAGCCTTTTAGCCGCTTGCTTTGGAGGGAAGAGGACTTCCCAGAGCGGGCGAGGGGACGCCAGGGAAAGGGAGCTGAGGAAGAGCTCAGAGCTTCCCGCACCCGAGGCTGGCAAGCACGGCAGGCTGCCGGACGGAAGTGCTGCGTGTCCGGCAGGCGGACGGACGGGCGGACACACAGGGTCCCTTTGCCCGGAGGAGGAGGGCAGCACATGGGTGACACTTTGCCCTGAGTTTCTCTGGCGTGAAGGGAACCGCTTGGGCAGAGGGAGGGAGGCCGGAGGGCGGGCAGGGCTCAAAGGGCCTGCGCTGGCTCTGGGCGCAGCTGAGCTGGACACACACCACAGGCAGAGGAGAAGAGAAAACAGGGGACTGGAGGCAGAAGAAGCTGAGCAGGCCTACCAGAAACCTGCTGTCCAGGTAGGGTTTGGCACCAGCTGCTTCCCTCCCTGCCTCCTTCTGCCAATACAGGGGAAGGCAGCGCCTGCTGCCTGGGAAGCAGCCAGGGACAACTGGGTGCCAAGAAGGCACGGCTCGTGTCCCCGACAAGGCCAGGGGRCAGCTAAATAGAGAGAAACACTTTCTTCTTCCCATGTCTCTTCCTTCAGTAGGTTCATCAGGCAGGGAGTGTGGAGGAGGGCAGGCCTCTTATCTAGCACCCCACTTCTGCCCACCWTCCCACCTCATGTCTGGGGTAGGGGTCAACTAGCCATGCTGAAAGGGCCCCTCATGTCAGCTGTTTAGGGGGCCCAGGGTGGCTTTTTCCTCCCCTCAGCTTTGCCCTAGCACAGCATGTGCTCCACGTCGTGCAGACATCACTGCTGAAGGGCACTGTGCCCACTTCTGGTTTTGCAACAGGTCCATGTGTGGAGGGAAGGGAGAACAGGAAAACAAGGGTTGTAACTCACATCAGACCCCCTTCCAGGGTCACATACCTTCCTAGGAAATTCAGGGGCAGGCTCAAAATAAGGTCATTTTTCATATGACTCAAACCCCAGCTATGCTGCAGGGGGACRACAGGGCCCACACTAATTGCTTTCCTTGAGTGCCTATAGAGCCCTGGCCAGAGGATATGAGTGGGTTTAYGCCAGAGAGAGGAATTTTCTCCTATTTGTCCCCCCATGCCAAATTTGCCAGGTGTGTGGCCCATCCAGGCCTCAAGGAAGGACATGCGGCCTCCATATTCAGGAGGCAGAATGAGGCACTGCGAGCCAGGGAGGTAAAGGCCAGCAGGAAACAAAACTGCCACTGTCCCTTTGCTCCCCCCGCCATTGAGGGAAGCAACCAATGGTGCCCAGAGCCACGAGGGGAGGTTTGTTTTCCCTCCCCCAGGCATTAACCCCTGGCAGATAAGAGGGGCCCTGGGTGAGCAAACAAGGACGGGGCAAGGCGAAACTCGTGCAGCCAGCCAAGAAAGCTGTGCAACGCCCASGGCTCCCCCTTGCCAGAGGCTTTGCTCTCCCTGGCACTGGCCACCCACTTCAAGGTGACCCACAGACACCCAGGAGAATGAGGCCGTATAGGGACGGATGGAGCCACGTGGCCAGGGTGCCTCTAGCAAGAGATCAATAGATGCTGCGTTCATACATCTCCTCTTGGCACGCTGCTCTCAGCAACTAGTCATGCTGAAAGGACCCAGCTCCATCCTGTTCCTCCATGAGAAGCTGAGCCTGGGGAGGGACGTGCCCCCGCTGCCTTCAGTGACCCATGGACTTGCTTCCTGCAGTGCCAAATTCATGCCCAGGAAGGAGGCCTGGATCACTGACATGTTGAAATGCCCTAAATCCTGAGGAGACAATTCCTTCCAGCACTTCCAGTCCCCGCTTTCTCCCTCTTYCCATGCCCGCCACCCTGGCCTCTGCTGATGTCAGTGTCCTACCCGATGACCCTTTCCAGCAGAGAGAATATGTAGCCGTCCGGTCATTGCCCTGCTGTTGCGTGCCTAGCCACTGCTTGCATGTTTGCCCCTCAGTGCTGATGTCCTCCAGACCTGCCTCAGCACAGGGAGCTTACTCTTACTCCCACTTACTCTTCTGACCTTGAGCAATCCACTTCCCTTTGGCATGCCTCAGTTTCCCTGCCTGAAAAGCAGCCTGCTCCTCCCCCTTGGCTGCCCTGTTACACCTCAGTCTCCGACTCCGTGCTGCTGCGTTCAAGTTCTGGCAAAGTTTGCCAAGTACTTACGGATCTGGGGAGGGAGAGAGTCAAAGGACGACAAATAAACCAGTATACAAATATTGCATTTCCCCAGCACCCCTCCTCCCTGAGAACTGCTCCRTCCCAGGCCTCACCCTCTCCTGAAGGGTTTGTCTGAATAGCAAAAATGAGGGAGAGGTTTTACTTTCTGGGAGCACATGCAGCTGGGCAGGGCAAGGCCCCTGCCTACCTGGGAGGAGGTGCCATCTAGGAACCGGATTTTAGGTAAGGTCTGAGCAATGGGCAGAGCCAGGGAGTCTGACAGGTACGAGGGAGGATGATTTGGAGAGAGCACGTTTGGGGGATGCCTTCTTCTCCAACCTCAAGAAGAGGGCACGTGCACTAGCTTTAACCCCCGTGCTTTCAGGACCACCTCTCCTGCAGGCAGCACGATTATGAAAATCTTCACCGGAGGCTTCACCCTTCCTTTTGTCTTGCTTAGGCTGCTTACAAGGGGATCAAGGCAGCTGCCCTGCTGTGCCCGCACTCCAGCTCCCGTGACCTGCTGCCCCATCTGCGAACCAGCTCCCACTCTCCCAGCAGGAGGAGGCACAGGCAGAAGACAGGAGACAGTGGATTAGCCTTAACCCCCCTGCCAGCCAGACACAGCTTCCGGCAGGAAAAGCAGCACCTGGGGTGACCACAGACCCTTCTGAGGCACCTATGCACCACCATCCTCCTCCAGGAGGTGGAGGCAAGAAAACAAGACTCACCTCTGCCATTTTCTCCTGGAAGGAGCAGCCAGAAGTCCCCTGTGCCGCTCACTGAGACAGCTTCTGGCAGCCAGTGGGTCTGGGACGAATTCATTCTCTGGGTAATTTCATGAGTGTAACAGTGCAAAGGAACAGGCAGACAGGCAAGATTCCCACCAGCTACTCTTAAGCGAAGGGACCATAACTTGAGCCGTGCCTCCGGGCCCCAGAGACCACCAGGGGCAGAAGCAAGAGTGATGGGGAAGCCAGGGATGTGACAGACCACCCTGGTTTGGAGGCTCAGTGAAGGACAATCTCTCGGACTTTTAAAGGTGTAGGTGTGTGGACACAACAGGGTGCAATATGAGCCTTGGAAAGCTGCCCGTGATCAGCTGGGTGTCAGGCTCCCATGGCAAGCGGCGGATGAAGGCAGAGCTGACCCCAGATATGATCAGCCCTCCACTGGGGGACTTCCGGCACACCATGCACGTGGGACGTGGTGGAGACGTCTTCGGGGACACCTCCTTCCTCAGCAACCACGGTGGTGCTGAGACAGCCAAAGCCAACAACTTCTTCATCCGAACGCTGAGGCACGTCCGCCGGACACCACTGAGGAGCCGGGGCAGCGTGAGCCAAGCAGAGATGTCACCTCCACCGCCACTTGTCTCACCCATCATCAAGAATGCCGTGTCACTGCCGCAGCTCAATGAAGGGATGTACGATGGGGACAGCAATGGAGGGGGTAGCTTGACCAGCAAGTTCTCCTTCAAAAGTGCTTCCAACAGCTTCTCCAAAACACACCAGGCCTACGGTGAGTGAAGCATTTGACAGGGGTGAGATGCCAGCTAGGAAACTAACTCRGAGGCACCGCATTTCTTGTGCATGTCTTCTGCAACACTGCCTCAGTTTCCCAATTGAGGGACAACCTTTAGACTCTCATATTCCCCTACTCCTATGCCCCTCTCATGGGCAGCCTCCATGGGGACGTCAAGTAGGTGCCGGGACAGTGAGGCAAATGCTAATGTACTAAAGCCAAGGTGGGGGCTATTGCAGGCCTATCCAAAACCTAACAAGCCCTCCATCACTGCATGTCCCTCATGCGTCCCAGTCTGTTCCTCCTCTATGTGCTCACATCCCTCCCTACTGACTGTGGTTCAGGAGAATCCCTTGAGGAAGGCTTGCAGGAATGGTGGGATGGATCAGCAGGATGGCTTTTCTGGCCTCAAATCACTAGGCTATGGTTCAGCTTTTCTCCAAGGAGGAAGGTTTGAAACAGAGGGTTTCAGAAGGGTCTGGGGGCGCCTGTGGCAGCCCATGGATATGACCGGGTCCAAGGAAAAGGCAAGCCAAGGCAATGCTGCCATCTCCTGGTCCCACCTGTATAGCTTGTCCCCCACCAGCATGTTACCAAACCTGGTGCCCACCCTGAAACCTCAGCTGAAAACTCTGGGCTTTGGAGATGAGCCCATAGGGAAGCAATCCTTGAGGTACAGTACTGTGAACCCTCTCTTTGCTGGGTCTGGCGAGCTTGGCATCAGGGGTCAGTAAGGGATGAAATGTGCCCTTTCCTTTGCAGGCTAGAGCCACTGCAACATGTGCCAAGTTAGTGTCCCTGCCCCTTGTCCTCTAAGACAGGCCCCCTTTGACATGATGCCTTAGCTGTGCTCCTCTCCCCTCCTTTCATCAGCTGCCTCTTGTGCCTTGCAGGGCTGGAGTCTGGATTTTGCACCATCCCTCGTGTCCCTCGCTTGGAAAAGGCCCAAGAGAGCACCTTTCCTGGGGAAACAGAGCTCACACACTCRGACTCCCTGCTTTCCTTCCGCCTGGATCTGGGGCCCTCCCTCATGAGCGAGCTCCTCCAGGTGATGAGCTTCTCTGAAATCAATGGAAATGAGGCAGGGGATGATGGCCAAGACCTGCCTGCTGAGCATGTTCTCATGCATGCTGAGGTTACTGACGACAAAGACCCTCCTGGATCAAGCAATCCCTGTGGAGAGGGAAAGGCAGTATCCAGCTTCTGGGACCACTCTGGGCAAACTAACCTGTCCAAGACCAGCTCATTGCTAGGACTCACTGCCCATGCCAATGGAGAGGCACATGCTCTTGAGCACATAGGAGAGGACCCTGACAAAGTCAAGGGCCCTGGCTGGGCTTCAGGGCTGGCAGAGGGGTCAGAAGCAGTGTCCAAAGGGCGCCCGTGGCAGGGACATTGGAATGACTGTACCATAGAGGCGGGAGAGTTTGACCGGGCAGCCCAAGTCCTAGCTCGCCATTATGGTGGGACGAGCACCCCGCGTAGCTCAGAGGAAAAGGACAGGGGTACCCAACAGGCCCGAACCCAGGCCTTGTGGGAGAGCCCCAGCAGCAGCTCATGGCGGTCACAAGTGACAACAGAGAGCCGGTCCTTGGACGGCCCGTGGAACCAAGAAGAGGAAGAGGAGGAGGAAGAGAATGAGCTCTCAAGCCTGCAAGAAGGGGACACTGGCACCCAGGATGGCCGCAGCAATTCCTTCGAGTATGCTGATGAGGAGGAAGATGACGACGAAGTCAAGGTGTGAACAACCATCCTGCCATCCCTTCTGAAGACAGCAGTGCCATGGTCTTCGCTCTTCTCCCCATCCCCTTCCCTCAAAAGCCAGCTCTGTAAGGGAGCTGGCGACAGACTCAATGAGCGAACTCCTGGCTGAGTCATGCTCCTCTGGAGATGTGCCAAACTGAGGGCAGTGGGGTGCAGGACGGGACATGAGGTGGAAGAGGGTAGTCCATCTCTCAGAGGGCTCCTCAGGGCTGGGTTAGGGTGAAAGCCCCCTCACCTCTGCTCTGCATCCTGTGATGCACTGGCTGTTGTGGCAGAGACAGATGCTTGCAGTCCTTCCCCATCCTGGCCTCGCTGTCGTTAGATGCCAAAGGAATGTTCCAATAAGCCAAAGAAACCCTGAATCCTTTCCCACCCCATCCTACGTCCTCTAGGCAAACAAACACTTCGCTGGGAAAAGGGAGAGGTGATAAACAGAGAGCAGACAGAAAGAGAGACTGCAGACACAGGGCTCATTCCCCCTACGTAAAGCCCAGCCCTGGAGAGGCAGTGAGTCAGGAGTGGGCTCTGAGACAGTCATGCTGGGACAAAGCACCACAGGGAGCTGCCTCAGCTCTGAAGGAGTCAGTAACCCACGTGCAACGCTCCCAGGCTGGCAGCACTAGCCGGCTGGAGCAGGCTCTGGAATCCGGCTCACATTCCTGCCTCTCACCCCCACTCGGGCAACCAGCAACACCAACTCTTGGGTTGCCTGGAGGGCAGCAGGGCCTTCTGCCTCACAGAGACCCCTCTCCTCAACCTGCCCCAGCACCCTCCTTTCTCTTCTGGCCACGGTGCCACACACAGAGAAACTGGGGGCCTCTCCCACCCCTCAGCCCTGCCCAGCTTACACATGTAGGATTTGCTCCATCAGAGCCCCTCTGCACTGGCAAGGTTGCCTTCATGGAGATATTCCCACTGACAGGTTTTGCACCTGGTCTGCCCAACTCTAGTGGAAGACCCTCTCATAGAGCACATATATCTAACTACTGTGTGCCCTGAGGAGGTCAGCTGGAGGCTCAGGGGCCAGGCCAACAGACAGAACTGTGCCTTCGCCCTTCCCTTCCAAAAAAACGGGAGCTCAGTGTTGCCTCCGGAAGGCAAGATTGTTGCCTTCCTGACAAAGACAATTGCAGGGGGCTTTCCATTTGCCCCCTGCTGCTGAGCCTGAGCATCACTTAGGAAGTCTTGTTTTCTTCCCCCTGCCCTCCTGCAGCAGGAAGAGGGAAAGATGTCTTGCCTTGTTGATACATGGGTGAGATTATCAGGTCATTAAATTCTGTAGCCTAAACTGACTAAGAAACATGATGTTAGGGCCCCCCCACCACTGGATTACCTCTATATCCCCAAAACCTCGCCTGAGAGATACCTTTCTCCAGGTATATTCTTACTCTTCCTTTCACCCCATCTCAGAACAAGAAGACTTACTCCGCTTGGCTAATTGAGATCTGGGCTGTCTCTTTTTCCCTCCCCTCTCCTCATTCCTACTCACACATCCYTCTTTCCAGAGTGCCTCCCTCAAGGGAGATTTGTGGATGGTTAAGGCCTCTAGCCGAGTATCTCTGGGCAACGTGGCCTTCCTGGAACAAGCTGCCCCCCACGCTGTCCCGCGTGCAAAGTGACACTCATAGAAGTGCCTTTGTGCCACGGCGTGGAGCTGAAATGCTCAGGGACTGAGGTCACCACAGGGACTCTCACAGGACTGTCCTTGTTCTCCGGGACAGAAATATGTGTGTGGCAGGGGGARATGCCAGACTATGGCCAAAGGGCTCTGTTCCCACACAGCTCACCCGCAGCCTGGTCCTTCTGCAGGCYGCTTCTGTCAGGGAGCACTTCTGAGCATAATAAAGAGGCTCCAACATGTGCGCGTGTGTTGTGCGTGGGAGCAGCAGGGCTGAGGGCTGCTGCTCCTCAGTCAGCTCGTCGAGGTCGTGGGCCGCTGCTCTGCCCCGCTTCCAGAGGCGGCTGCCCTGCACCAGCCGGCAGTGGCGAGCTGGGGAGCRAGCACGGCCAAGGAGTCTCCATCTCCAGCCACTGGCAACCAGCAAGGCCTGTGTGTCCACAGGCACCACCGCCCCCACACCGTCTGTTGGGTGGATTCTGGCTCTCAGGATGAGGTCTCCTGCCTTCTTCTTCCCGCACCATAGTGCAAGCTGCAGACCAAAGACCCACGCCTGTGGAAAATCCTTTCTGCCTCTACTCTGTATCCCATGCACTTATTATTGTTCTTATTAAACCAATTTTGATACTAATTTCTCCTCTGGTGCCTCCTGCTCAAGCCTCCTGACATTTGCAGTGACCTAGCAAGCTTAACATCTTTCCTTGCCACGTCTGCTCACATTCCCCTCCCAGCCCCCAAATTAACTTGTCTCTGCACTCGGGGATCACAATGAAGTCGAATTTGCCRACACCACAGGGATGCTTGGATCACCTGGTCCAGTACCTTGCCTCTCACTGTGACTAACACATCAAGCAGCCCTCTGTGCAGCCAGCACCAGGTTGCATATAAAAAAATGCAAAGTTTCCTCTCCAGCCCARCAATAATTAGCTTGCACCCTGAAGCAGATTGTTACCATTCCCAAAACTGGCTTGGCTACAGACCTTCCAATCCTTCAGAAAACGCCTGCCCAAACACTCAGGCAGCAGCGAGGCCCGTAGACTGTAGGGCACCACCCTCAGATTGTTTTGAGGGAAACAGCTGCTGCTGGCACTGAAGGAGGCAGTGTGGAAGCACGGAGGGACAGCAGGAACATTGCTGGGTCCTTTTAGGTTGGACTCTCCATCCAGTGCTCTTCTACTCTCATAGTACCCAGTTCAAAGTCCTCTAAAGTTTGCTGTTTGCTCTCATACATCAGTCTCATTTGGAGAGACTGAGCTACTTCTCTGATCAGCAATCTTCTCCCCATTACCTCAATCTCATGAGGGCAAGGAGGTAAAAGTTTACCCGCTTTTTCTTGTGTTAAGATATTTCATATCTTTCCTTCCAGTATTGTTGGAGGTGTTGCAATATCCCTATTACCTCATTTTCTGCACATTTCAGTCTCTTTCCCTGAGGACTTTGGGAACAAAATTGACCCGGTATGCTCCAGGCCCGCTCTCCCTCCCTCCGGCTTGTGAGACTTTTTAATTAGAGCAGCGGCAGCAGCTAATCAGGAGTAATTGTCTGTAATCCTGTGTGACAGACACAGACTGAGAGACGCTGAACAGTGTAACCAAAGCAAAATACCCTCCTTCCTGCTGCCCTCCTCTGCCTCACTTTCATGCCGAGTATGATATTGTGTGGAAATGTCTGAGTAATGGGTAACCCAGCTGGAATGTGCCAGCAGATAAGTGAGGTGAGATAAGAGGAAAAGACGGAGAAGACAGTTCCTTATCTCCAGCAGGAATGCCAGCCAAGAGGCACACCTGTGCTCCATTCCCAGGGCCATTGCTTTGCCTGGTACAGCTCCTGCTGGGGGGCAAGCTACCCCYTTCCTCCTTCCTGTTTACCTCAAGAGGCCAAGAAGAAAATACCAAACCCATGCCCTGAGGTKCCCAAACCTAACATTTAATTACACGCTCTTGTGGCACTGAATGCCACAATGCCCACGTCATGCCTTTGTTTTCCTCCTTCCCAAAACCTRGATGCAAGAAGAAATGGTGCATTGTGAAGAGATTACGCAGCGATTCATTTGCAATCACAAACCACCTTCCTCGACTTGAACCCCACCTCCAGCCTGCTTTGCCCTGTGTGCCATCCATTCATTCCTACATCCTGGTCTGACATGAAAAAGCACCTGTCTTTATCTGGGAGCTATTTCCATCCAACAGGGACTCCTTTCCCATTGGCAGAAAACCTTGGGCTTTTTCAGTGTCTCACATKAAGCCACAGAGCCAGAGACCTCAGAGAAGTCAGAGCAGCTGGAGCAAACAAGCCCACTGCTTGGACCTTTATTAGAGCCAGGACACAGTGCCCATCAGTCCAGCTTGAAGGAGGTGACCCTGAATCCTCCCTTGACCCCCATGTAGGTGATCTTGTCATAGCCGTGTCGATTAGGGAACTCCACTTCATGCCCATCTGGTAGTTTCACCTGGAATTTGTCTGCCAGGAATTCAATGACGAGCTAGGAGAGGGGGAGGAAGGAAGAGAAGGAATTGGGGACAAGATGGAGAACAGGAGGTAAATATCCATTCCAAAGACTGGGTTGTTAAACATCAGGGTCAGATCTGGTCCTGACAATCTTAGGCAAGATTCTGGCGAGTGAGCTTAGTTAGCACCTCACACAGAGGAGGAGGAAATGAGCAACAGATATGGAAGGTCTCAGTTTATACCTAGACTATGATCTTGGGAGAGGATCTCCCTGGGGCAGTTTCATCTGCTCAGGTTGTAAAAACAGAATAGTTAAACCTATGCACAGACAAGAGGAAAACCCATTACAGATTGCTGCAAATTAAAGGGATCATTCTTCATTGCCGTTGTATCTCCACCCCTTCCCCATGAGCCAGCCGCAACTGAGGAAATAAGATTCCAATGCACAGCAATAAGAAAAATGCTTTTATGAGCAGCCCTGGCAAAGTCCKGGAGCATCAGATAGCAACTTCGCATCCCTGGCAGCGGGAGGCAGGGGGGATAGGCTGTTAATGCAGATCCAGGAAGCTGAGGATGGGAGGGCTGAGGGAGAGTTAGTTGGACCAGAAAGGACAAGAGTAGTTTGTACTACATTGCTCCCAAACCTGGGTGACCTTAAAGCTTTTTTTGCCTAGGAGAGAATGAGGGAGAGAAACAGCGTGGAGAGCAGCAAGATTCTGTTCTTGGAGACTTATCTTCATTCCCCCACTAGGTGTGCTCACTTTCTGAGCTGCACTGGACAGGAATGGGGAGCAGAAACAAAGTCCAAGGCTGAAAAGGCTCATGCAAAAATTCCAGAGAAAGCAATGGGGACTTGAAAGAGGAATGGAAATGGCAATAAGGACCCAAAACCCAGGGGATGAAGATAGTTGACTATGGAGAGGGCAGGCTGAAACAGTGCACAAGAACATGGTAACTAAGGGTTTCCACAGCACCACATTACCAAGTGCAAGCACAGACCCCTCACCTTGATAGTGGAGCCTTTGGAGAAACAGAGGTGGTTGTCACGATGCTCCTGCTGCCAGGCTTTGGAGCACTTGGAGTTGCAGACAATGACCGACTGATTGAAGCGGGGATTGAAGTGCAATGCCAGATCTGAGGAGCTGTGGCCAAGGTTGACGACAAAGCTGTGGTGAGCAGAAGGAAGGTCAGCTATGTGAGCAAGCCAGGGTCTTAGAAGTATCTGAGATCCAACAGACAGCTCTGCCTGCAATTCCTCATCATTTAATTCCTCCTATTTCCTCATTCTGCTCATGAAGCAGGGTATTAGGATGGGGGTGGTGCAGAGGATCCCTGAAAAGCACCAAGCTATGCTCAGCTCAGGCTCTTTGTACCGGGCTGGCCCCCCTGGTAAGCTAGGAACCCCCCACCACCACCTCTGCAACCTACCTTCAATCTGGTGAATTGAGGTGGTTTCTTCATACTTACCCATCGGTATCCTCAGATATCTTGCCCTTAATCTTCAGGCTGTCCCCAGCCTTCAAATCGAGGTTGAAGATTTCAAACACTTCCTAACGCATAAAGAAAAAAAAAAATCTGTAGGGCTCCTTCAAACACTGCAAGTGAGAGCACACCACTTGCTGAAGGTTCCTTAGCCAAGAAAACATCTACTGCTCTCAGCAGGTGTTCCTCTCATGGGTAAATCCCTCATCCTGGAGATCTTGCATGGTTTTCTCGCTCAATGAGGGCTGAGTGAAGTCAGAAGGAAAAAAAAGGCATAGAATCATAGAATCGTAATTGTTGGAAAAGACCCTCAAGATCATTGAGTCCAACCATAAGATCAAGTTCAACCGTGAGAGAAGGAAGAATTGAAAACAAGCTTCTCCCYAGCATAGTGAAAGACAAAGCATGACAACAGACATACAAAGAGGCCTCAAGCAAGAGGGTCCAACGCAGGACTCCCCAAAGGCTTCTCAGTGCATCATCCCTCACAGCCCAGAGAATGCAGTTAGTGAGAACGGGGATGGCTGTGGCGTGCCCGTCCCTCACTCAGCATTGCTGAYTACCCACCACCATGAGCTGGGGACCCCAAGGTGACAGAAGAGAGGAGCAGCAGACATCTTACAGACATCTTCCTCAGCAGAGCAGAGTACCCAGGCAGGAAGCCACCAGCAGTTTAGCTCAGAAGCTCTTTGTACAGTAGACCTTACAACCCTGAACTTCCTTATGGCTTACACATTAACAGTACCCTGCCTGTGCAGAGCACCACAGACCGCTGTTACGCAAGACTTTCAAACTAGCTCCCCCTCACACTCATGGACTCGAGGAGATTTAATGAAGCCCCATCCCCAATGCCCTCTCAGTGGGCTTCACGTTGAGGGATAAGCACACATGGCCATTGTGTTAACTCCAGCCACTACACAGGATAAATATTGTCCCAGATGGCTATGAATATGCGACTACCATGCGCCCTGCTCTTTCTTTTTCTTTTTTTTTCTTTGTGTGTGTGTGTGTGTCCCTAGACTCAATGCCAGCTGTGTGGATTGCACCAGGAATACCTTGGAGCTCTCTGTCATCTYGCATCCAATCTCCAGTGAGACCAAAACCTGCTCGCTTCAGGAGCCAAGCAGGTTTAATAGCCCAGTCCACTCTAACCCTAAGAAACGGGATTATTGTCTTCRCAAGGGGACCTCACTTCATCAGTCTCCTGCAGTAAAAACTACAAGCACACCATATTTGACTGAAGAAATCAGTGTTCTATTCCCAGACTCCAGAAG